CAGTAGCTGTTGTACGACATCTTTTCGGGACGCCCTTGGAGGACCTCCACGATGGCCCAAGAAACAAACCAATAGACAAGTCAATGGTGTTGCAGCATTTGTTCCTCAAAGTAAGCGTTTCGCTCAAGGCACCCTGCATCAAGGTTTTCGGGTGGGTCTTGGAACACATCATATCATTTAATGACGACGGAGATGATGGCGTTGATGACGATGACGACAGCGACAATGAGAACGAATCGCATTAGTCTTCATAGTAATAGTAATCGTAATGGAAGGGCAGGGCACAGGTCCCGTTTAGTACTTGCGCAAGTTCAATTCCACGTCTGAACGCGCGTGACGTCTATACGTGCGACAACGTCCGCTGCTCTTGAAACCCCTGAAGTGCAGAGGGCGTCGCGGGCTTCCCAGCATCACTGTTGTTTTCAAGTGCGCGTTCAGCTGGATACCTCCTCGAACATGCGAAGATGAAAACATCAGAGGGAGGCTGCCACCCACGCCAGTTCAGAGTGGTTCTTTCGAGGGTGCCGAGGGGATTCCTAAACTCGCGCGGGCAGTGAACTGCGCCGAGGGCGAGGAGGCAGGCGACGGGGGCGAGGAGGCGGAGACAAGGGCAAGTTCATTTCATTACGTGCGCTAGTGCGGCGCCACGTGTGGACCTGGGCGAGTAGCGAACTCCACCTGATACCCCCCTGTGGACGTTCGGTAAGAGCGCTTATGCCACATTTGATCTCACTGTTGGCGCACGCTCTTGTCATTCCCTTCGATTTCACGCGCTTCCCGTTCATGTCAGGAAAGGTTTCTTGGATCGGCGCCGAACCCCCTCCCCGGCGCGCGGAACGCGCCAGGGGCGGCGCTGGAGGCGCCGCCAGGGGGGCCCAGCGCCGCGCCGATCCAAGAACTCCGAGCGGAGGTCCAACAGCTTATGCTCATGCAGTCTGTTGATTCATCTAGAGACGGGCGTCGCATTTTTTGGAAGTCGGGCTCGGCCTCCAAAGGCACCACCAGAGAGGCGCGTGCCCCAGGAAGGCGAGCTCGGCCTCTGCAGCACACTCCGTGCTTCGCCCCCGGCAGTACCTGCGCTCAGGGGTTCGTGCTGCTGTCCCCTGAGGACTTGGATGGTTGTGCTGGGTTCTCGGCCAGTGCCCGCCTGGTGGGCGCCTCGTGGGCGCCTCGAGGGCGCCAGCGCTCGGCGGGCCATGGCCGAGGTTCCGCCTGAGCACCACAGAGCTTGCGCCCCTGTCGCGATAATAATCTCAACGCTGCGCGTTTTGCCTGGCGCCACGCGTTACATACGTGCACCCTGGCAGTACTGGTATTCAGCTACAGCCAGCCCCCTCCACTCGCCGGCCCGCCGCTGAGGTGCTGCGTGAGGCTCCGCCCCGCCGCTTTAGGTGAGGCTGCGCCCCGTCGCCTTAGGTTAATTCGTCGTTGCGTGCCCCGCTTTGACTGGACCCGCCGCTGGCGCGCTCGCCTGCGGCCGCTGACTAAAAAGTTTTGCCTGGCGCTCAGAGGAGTGGCAGAAGATGGCTGAGGCTGTGGGCCCCCGAGGGAGCCTGAGTGCACCGCACACTCTGCGCCACATAGCTCGCACCATCCAGATTGCACCACGCAGCTAGCATATAGTGACTTTCGCCGCCCGGCTGGCACCGCATGGCTTGCGCCAGGTACTTGGAACACCAGATCCTACACACCAAAGGTTGCACCCCATAGCTTTCGCCACATAGTTTGCACCGCGCACGCAGCCGTCTCGTTTACAGTGGAATGATTTACGGTTCAGGGCCCACGCAAACAAACATGTGTAGGGCCCGCTCACCTCGGGACCCGCTCCCTTTCGTGCCGAGAGAGGCAGGGCTCGCTTCGACTACTCAGCCTCGATTTGGTTCGATTCCGATCGCTTCCAATCCGATGCGGTTTCGTATCTTCCGATTGGGATCTCGGTTTCCCCATGGAGGCCTTAAATGGCCGCCGATGTTCGCGACGTTTTGACTTCTCCCGGAGTGGTTGCCGATGTCCGCCCATCCGAGTCTTCTCGGCCGCCGGCCCGGGGCCCGGCGCATCGATTCGATTCTGGGTTCTTTGGGATCGGCGTCACCCTTAGCATATTTTCCCCAATCAGTGCTTGCACTGAAGGGGTCCTGGCGGAAGTTGAAAGATTTGGCGAAAGTTTCCCGCCAATTTTGGTAGCAGGCTGGGTTCCCAGGTTCCTCGCTCTGCGTTCCCAGGTTCCCGGTTGATGGTTCCGGGCTGATTTCGGTGGGTTCTGGGTTCCTGGGCTCCCGGGTTCCCGGTCGATCTCCTCTGCGAAAACCATCCAGTGATTGGGTCGCCCAACAGGGGGCGACGCGTGCGTCGAGAAATCTGATCGTGTAAGCTCTGTGGCGGGCGCTCTCTGGCCAGACCGCTCGGGAAACGATCTACTACGAGATGGCTGCACGAGATGTTCGGGTCGGACGCACGCTTCGGATGAGGACACATAATTAGAGCCCGTTTCTGTATTGCTTGGGGCATGACGGGCGTCATGGCCCCTGCTCCCCCCCCCTTATGACGTAACGCTCCCCTCCCCCCAGTGCGCTCCGGGCACTGCCGCCGTGCGCGTTGGGATCCGCGTAGGTGTCGGCGTAGGAATCCGCATAGGAGTCTGGTCCGCAGTCGTCGTCGTCGTCGTCGTCGTCGTCGTCGTCGTCGTCGTCGTCGTCGTCGTCGTCGTCGTCGTCGTCGTCGTCGTCGTCGTCGTCGTCGTCGTCGTCGTCGTCGTCGTCTTCGTCGTCGTCGTCGTCGTCATCGCTCGTCGCTCGTCGCTCGTCGCTCATCGTCGTCGTGCGTACTGACGCGGCTGGAGCCTGTTTTTTATTCTGGGTCGATGACGTCACGTTTCGCGCCGGCGGCGTTTGGGAATGCTCAGGAATGACGGATGATGGGTACCACCAGCATGTAGGTGGCGATCTGCACAACAACGCCTGTGTACACCACAGTTCCTGCGTGCACCACAGCGCTTGTGTACACCACACCGCCTATGTACACCACAGCATCCGCGCGCAACACAGCGTCAGTTTGTGCCACCGTGCTTGCGGCAACAGCTGTTGTGTGCACCACAGCGCCTGCGTACACCACATCAGCCGTGCACAACACAGCTCCAATGTACACCACAATGCTTGTGTGCATTGCAGTGCCTGCGTGCACCACGGCGCCTGTGTGCACCACAGCAACCGTGTGCAACACAGCAGCACTGTTGTACATAGAATGTCCGACGGAATCCGTATGACAAAATGGAGGCCTTGTGGATTGCATAAACAACAATAGAAAAGCAATCCTTCTGGACAAAGGAGCGCCGCTGGAATCTACGCGTCCTCCCGAGTCCGCCCGCATCACTTTAACTCCTCCCATTTGCGCCCAGGAAGCTCCAGCTAAATTGGCCGTGCGAGAACCAAGTGGACCGATTCAATAAACCATTCTGCGGTGCACGCTGAAATGTGCACGTGCGCTGTAGCGCCAACCCGCACGACAGGGGGTGAGGAGGAGGAGGGGGAGGAGGAGGAGGAGGAGGAGGAGGAGGAGGAGGTGGAGGAGGAGGAGGTGGAAGTGGAGGAGGGGGGAGGAGGGAAGAACGTCGCATTCGATTATCAGCACTTTCCTGCACGCAGGCATTGTGGTGTACACTAGCGCTGCGTTGCACGTGGATGCTGTGGTGTAGACAGGCGCTGTGGCGTCCACAGGCGCTGCGGTGCACGTAAGCATTGTGGTGTACACAGGCGCTGTGTTGCACATGGTTGCTTCGGTGTACACATGTACAATGGCGCTGTAGTGTACGCAAGCATTGTGGTGAACACAGGCGCTGCGTTGCACACGGTTGTTGCGGTGTACGCAGGCGCTGTGGTGTACACGCGCGCTGTGGTGCACGCGAGCGTTGTGGTGTACACAGGCGCAGTGAGGCATATCGCCACCTACATGTTGCTCGCGTCGTCGTCGTCGTCGTCGTCGTCGTCGTCGTTCGTCGTCGTTGTCGTCGTCGTCGTCGTCGTCGTCGTCGTCGTCGTCGTCGTCGTCGTCGTCGCTCGTCGCTCGTCGCTCGTCGCGTCGTGCGCAAGGGCGCGGCTGCGGTGCCAGAACCACACGGCGGGGGGGGGTGCGTTACGTCATACCCCCCCCCCGCCCCCCCTCCCATGGCGCCCGTCATCGCCGAACATAAAGAAACGCGCTCTTACCCAGATCCCCCGACGTCATGCATCTTTAATTTCGGCCCCCAGAGATCATCTTGACCCATTTCCCGGGGACGGTTTCTCATCCCGAGCCGGTTTATCACTGCTCCGAGGCCCGGTGAGGGCCCCCAGAGGCCGAAAATCGAGAAACACTTCTGGTCATGATTTTTCCATGACGCGAGGGGGTCTGGAGAGTAGCAGCACGCCATTATTAGGAAATTTTGCTCCCACCCCAGATCCTGACCCCCGCAGGCCCCTGGAGGTTCCCAGAGGGCCCCGAAGGTCCCTGGGGGCCCGAAAACGTGCCTAGAACGTCCAGGCACCGCCCGAACACGTCCGAAGTCCTTCCTCCATCCTCGAGGAGGGCTGGGGTTGCGAAAGCCCTGGGCCGAGGTGCCCCCGGCTTTGAGCTCAATTTTGGAGACCCTGGAGCCCTCTGCGAGCCCCTGGAGCCCTCTGGGTCTCGTGAGGGGTGCTCTGGATGCCGCGGGGGCCTCCTTGGACATCCTGGGGGCGCCTTGGGCCAGGAGCACCTTTAGCAACACCCGACAAAGACCTACTCTATAGGAGCGCTCTGGCGCGCACCGAGGCCCCTGGAGCAGCCTACTTACACAGCTGCTTTAAAAGAACAGTGGAGGGGAATGGAGGAGCATGGCGGAGTGGAGGAGCATGGCGGAGTGGAGGAGGAGGAGGAGGAGGAGGAGGAGGAGGAGGAGGAGGAGGAGAGGAGGAGGAGAAGGAGGAGGAGGAGGAGGAGGAGGAGGGGCACTCTCTGGCAGCACCGGGCCATTGGGCACCGGAGAGGCGGAGCTGGCGTGGCTCGAGGAGAGGGCGCGCACGCCCGAGGGGTGCCGGCTCGGGCGCGGCCTCTTCCTGGCCCCGGCGCGGGAGCGCGCGGGTCTGGCCCGCGAGGCCTCGGGAGCGGCCAAGGCGGAGGGTTTCTCCGAAGGGCTTAGGCGGCCCGTCCTCCTCCTCCTCCTCCTCCTCCTTCTCCTCCTCCTCCTGCTCCTCCTCCTCCTCGTCCTCCTCCTCCTCCTCCTCGTCCTCCTCCTCCTCTCATGCTCCTCATACTCCTCATGCTCTCCTCCTCCTCCTCCTTCTTCTCCTCCTCCTGCTCATGCATCTCCTCCTCCTCCTTCTCCTCCTCATCCATTTCCTCCTCCCCCTCCCCTCCTCCCCCACTTCCTCCTCCCCCCTCCTTCTCCTTCTTCTCCTCCTCTCCTCCTCTTCCTGCTCCTCCTCCTCCTTCTCCTCCTCCTCCTCCTCCTCCTCCTCCTCCTCCTCCTCTTCCTCTTCCTCCTCCTTCTCCTCGGGTCGCCGACGGCCCCGGGGGAAACCGTGCACAAGAGGGGGGGGGATTTAGTCCTCCCAGATGGGGTCTGAGCAGATGGCGTCGGAGGATCGGACCGTATCGTCGATGCATCGGCGATGCAGCTCGATGTGGAGCCCGATTCCTCCACGCTGGCGTCGCCGATGCGGCGCAATCCTCCGACCCCATCAACTCTGGCCCCATCTAGGAGGCCTTTAGTTGATGACTGGAGTTTGGCAGGTTCGTGGAGGGGGGTTACGGCCGGACCGAGGTATACAGGGTGGGCGCGCATGAAAAAACATTTGCTTTTCGTCAGGGCATCCTGGGTTTCTTCGCTCCGCGCGCTGCGCAGTGACTTCCCGCAGCCGTAGAAGAAGCTGCTGTGTTCAGGGTGCTCCGGGTGTCCCCTCATGTGCACCTCGCGCGCGGGTGTTCAGGGCTGGGTTTCTTGAGAGGGTTTCCGATGTGTTTCGTGCGTTGTTTGACATTCTTGTGCATCCTGGGAGAAGGTGCCCTCGAATGTTCTCCAGTGTGGCCGGCGGAGGCTATCATGTTTTGGAAGGATGTTCTTCTGTCCTAGGTCTGGCCGCATCCCAGGGTGGGTTAGGGAACGGACCCAGCTGGATGTGCACATAACTATCCTGGTTCCAGGGGCCGTTCAGGGCGATTTTCCTCCCAACCCCACCTCGGCCCCTACCCCACTTTTACTCAGGAGGAAAAAAACACACACACACACAGACACAATTAATCGTCGATTCCCCCGGAAATATAGGAAAATATGGGAAGTGGGGGGGAAGACGAAAATCCCAAAAATATGAAAAATAAGGGAATCTTGTTATTTGTGTGTATTTATTTGTGTGTCCCAGGGTTCCTTCATTTACGTCCCCCAGATAGGGGGGGAAATCATGGCCAGGGCCACGATACCTTAGGGCCGTCTGCAGGTCTGAGGTGGCCCAGCGCTGGTTCCGTCCAGCAGGAAGGGCGGGCAGGTTCGAGGTTTCACGGCTTCCGGGGGCCGTTTTCGGGCCCCGGGAGTGTAATTCAGGGGTCCCCAAACGGGGTGGTGACCACACCGTGTGGTGAGTCGGTGGGGATTCGGGGTCACCGCACGGGTTTGGGACTCGGGTCGTTCTCCGAGGACGTCTCGGGCGATTGGGGTCTCCGAGGTCCCAAGACCGTGCGGTGACGGACCGTGCGGTGAGGTCTTGGGGGATTTCGAGGTCACCGCACGGTCTGTCACCGCACCGTTTCGGGACTCCAAAGTAATGAACGGATCCGGGGTGAAAAACTGTATTAGATGGACCCCGGGAGCGGTCCAGAGACAGATTTTGACAAGATCTTGTTGTGGGCTGGCGGAGGGTGGAGTCGCGGCGGCGCGGCTGGACGGCGGGAAGCTGGGCTCGCTGTTGTTTCGGCTGGGGTGGTCGTGTGGAGCCCTTGCGGACCCGCGGGGCTTCGCGTTGCACCCATCAGAAAACAAAAATTGGCCCCCCCACCCCCCTCCCTCCTGACTGGTTTTCTGGGGTACCAGGTCGCACCCTCCGGGTCGCCTATGGTGCCTCCCCAGATCTCGTAGCCCCCTCTTCTCCGTGCCATGCTGCGGGACGGGAAAATGACCACAGCCACTGCTTCTTGTCTGCGCCGCCTTCCAGCCGGCCGACAAAGAAGCCGTGGTTGCGGTCATTTCCCTGGTGCCAAGCTCAACGAACATGACCACAACCACTGCTTTGTTTCTGCCACGACCACACCACAACCACAACCACGACCACAACTAGGCGGCAACAAAAGAAACGACCACACCAAGGCGGCAACAAAAAGGCGCAAATGACCACGACCACGACAAGGCGGCAACAAAAGAAAAGTAGTGGCCGTGGTCGTTTTCACGTCCCGTGCCGTGCGCTCCCTGGCCGTCTCCCCCCCCCTTCCGCGCACAGGGCTCGGGCCAGGGCCCGAGGGAAAAACGGTGTCCGGCAATGTCGTGGACCGTTGGCGCTCGGATTTCGTTCTGCAGAAGAGGGTGGAACGAAGACAGAACGTGAAGGACCAGACTGGCGCGGGGAAGGAGGAGGAGGAGGAGGAGGAGGAGGAGGAGGAGGTGCTAGGGTGGTCGTTCTCTGCGGTTTTCGGCACTCCTCGGAGGGCCTCTCGTCGCGCGACGCGCGGATTGTCTTCGCGGAAACCAGTCCAACCCAACCCGAAGGCCCAGATTGGCCTTCCATTTCTAGTGGGGGGGGGGATCGGGGAGCATTGAAAAAACAGATATGAAGCCCGTACCCCCCCAACCCGAAGTTCGGGTCTTCGAGTTGGGTTGGGGTGGTCTGGTAGGCAGTCAACGAGGGAGACCGAAAGCAGCACGGAAGCCGGAGACACTCTTCGGCTCGAGCCCTGCTTCGGGTCATGGTCTGCGGGCCCCCTTCGTGGATCAGGAGCGAAAGAAGGACGCGCACGTGCACGAATCCACGCTGGCTTCGAGACGACGCACTGCCCGAATGCTCGCATCGCGCGGCCAGTCTCGCGGATCGAGGGGCCGTGTTCGTGTACATAAGCTGGGTGCGTGCGTCCTCTGTGGGCCCCCCCTTCGTGGGCGCCCCCCTCCTCCTCCTCCTCCTCCTCCTCCTCCTCCTCCTCCTCCTCCTCCTCCTCCTCCTCCTCCTCCTCCTCCTCCTCCTCCTCCTCCTTCTCCTCCTCCTCCTCTCCCCCCTCCCCTCCCTCGTGGACGCCCCCCCTGCAGGTCGCCGGGCGCCTGCGGGGCTGGCTGTCGCGGGCAGCGGCGGGCTCCGCGCGGCGGGCGCCCGAGGACGTGGCGGTCGACGCCGTGTTCGTGGCCACGTACGCCTACTCCGCGCAGGTCGGTGTTGCGCGGCTGCGCGCCGAGGAGGAGGAGGAGGAGGAGGAGGAGGAGGAGGAGGAGGAGGAGGAGGAGGAGGAGGAGGAGGAGGAGGAGGAGGAGGAGCCCGGCCCGAGGCCGCAGCCTCGTCGTTCCGACTGCGGCGGGGGGCGTTCGTCGGTCAGAGGCCCGAAGCATCAGGGCCAACTCGGGTCAGGGCTGACTTGGGTTCGCTTTTCGGGGTTCCGAACCCGAGTTGCCCCGGGCCCGAGTTACCCCGGATAATTCGGGCGTCCAGAGCCCCAAATCATCAGGGCTAATTCGGGTTCGTTTTTCGGGATTCCGAACCCGCGTTACCCCGGACCCGAGTTATCCCCGGATAACTCGGGCGCCCAAGTCGGGTCTGCACGAACGAAGTGGGCACGGGAAGAAGGGGCACAATGTCCCAGCAGCGGATCTTTGGTTCATTTTGAGCAGGGCTCGCCGTCCACGCCGCCGCGGCCTGTGTTCAGTCGAAACAGGAGGCCGCCTGCCCAACAGCGGCCGCTGTTGGTTTGGGGCAACATGTGTTGTTGGGCATTGTACCCATTCTTTCCGTACCCATTTCGGGCGTCCAAACCAGGGAACGTGCCCAGGACGCCTCAGACCCTGGAGGGTTGCCAAGACGTGTTCAACCTCGATCGCATGTTCGGTCGCACGACGTGTTCTGTCACAGCTTCGGGCACGTTTTCGGTCACCGACTGTTCTCTCGGTCACCTGCTTTGTTCACCTTTTTCGGCTGATAGGGGCGAGGTGCCATGACGCTCTCCATGAAGGAAGCGGGTCCTGAGGGAAGCGGGTCCCGAGGTTTTTGTTCGCCGTTTTCGAGCTTCCTGGGGCTCTCCACGGGCCGCGGGCCTGCCAGTAAACGACTCGGGATGAAGAGTGGGTCTCGGGGAAGAGTCCTGGGGCCCAGAACCCTTCCACGTACACCACCACCACCCCCCTCCCCCCCCCCTCCCCCTCCCGGGGAGGAGGAGAGGAAGGGGCGGGTTCGCCGGGGGAGGAGGGGAGGTGGTGGCGGTGGTGGTGCACATTCTTGGGGCCCGCACCGGGGTCCAGAGGATCCCGCTGCCCTGAGGAGGAGGAGGAGGAGGAGGAGGAGGAGGAGGAGGAGGAGGAGGAGGAGGAGGAGGAGGAGCTTCTCTCCCTCGTGGCAGACAGGTCGGCGCGTGGCTGGGCGCCAACGCCTGGCCGGAGGTCCCAGGGCCTCCCCGGACGGGGCCCGAGCGGCGGGGGCCGGAGGATCGCGCTGCACTGCCGATGCCTCGCCGAGGCGGCCTCGGTGCGGAGGCCGCTCTGCTCCGCGCGGCGTCGCTGCCGCGCCGCCGCCGCGCCGCCGAGGCGTCGCCGACGCAGGGCCGAGGTGTCGCCGAGGTGTCGCTGATGCGGCGGCGATGCGTCGGCGATGCGGCGGCGATGCGGCGGCGATGCGGCGCGATTCTCCGACCCCACCTGCTCGGAACCCATCAAGGAGGCCTCGAGAGGCCATCATGACTCACGCCTCGGTCCCGGGCGTGGGCCGGGAGGAGGTGGAGGGGGCCCTGCTGCGCGACGTGGGCCCTCAGGCGGTCTCGCCCGCGGAGGTGCGGGATGTCGTGGACTCTTTCGTGGTGGCCATATGGGGCAACGCTTCCAGCCTCGCGGCTGGCGGGGCCCGCCATCCCGACGAGCGCCTCTGGCCGCAGCTGCACGCGGAGGTGCTGGTCTCTGTGCCCGAGCAGTTCGCCGGCATGCAGTACGCCGTCGGCGTCCTCTGGGGCTTCGCGCTGCGCAGGCTGGTGCTGCGGCTGGCGCTGGATCGCTCGGCAGGCTCGGTCCCCGAGCTGCCCAGCACGGCTCGCGCTCGGCTGGAGAGGATCTTCGCGCGGCGCGAGGAGGAGGCCGGCCCGGCAGAGCCGGCCCACCCAGCGGCGGGCGAGGCGCCCGCACCCTCCCTCCTGTGCTGCGCTTAGCTGCCTCGGCGCGTCAGTCTCGAGACGCAGCACGCGCCGCGCTTGCAGCGTCTGTATCGATGCGTGGCGCGCTGGCTCGGCGTATCGGCCACGTTCTGGCGACCGTATCGCGTCAGACCTGCGTGCTCAGTCTCTGCGTGTTGAGCTTCGTGAGTCAACACTCTGCGTGTTGCGTGGTGGTGCGTGTCGGGGCAGCTCTAAGGTCCTACGCCACGGCGTTCTTCGGGCACGAAGACTGGGCGGACCTCTGCGAGCCCACGGACGCGGCCGTCGCCACGCTGGAGGCCGAGCTCGAGGAGGCGCTCCCGGGGCTGTCGCTGCTGTCCGGGCAGCACCTCGAGGACCTGGTCGCCGCGCCCGAGCGGGTCGTGGCGCCCTACCTGGAGTCGGTATCGTTTAACCAATACCCATCCCCATCCTCTATCCCCTTCGAGACCCCCACCAAATTACCGCCCCAGTTGGGGATACATCCCTCGAAACCCGAAGGGAACGACCTATATCGCCATCTAGGGGGGTAAATCGGCCAGTGCGGCCCAGGCCACGCCGCTGGGGATGGGGATCGGTAAACTATACTCATGGAGGGCGACGACGACGAGGCGATCCCGCCGGAGGAGCTGGTGCAGCTGCCGCAGGAGTCGGCAGCGAGTCTGGGGGGGGGGGAGCGACCCAGAGATCCAACGCATTGAAAAAATCAAGACGGAGGTTCTTCTCGACTTTCGATCTCTAGCGGCCCTCGCCGGGCCTCAGGATCGTCAAAAAACGACTCGGGACGCCGGGGAAGTGGTCGGGAGGTCGGGGCCCGCGTCTCGAAAAAGTCGAGGCGTCGGATGTGGGGGAGGGAGGGAGGTCCACGAGGCAGACGTTGGCCAGACCTGTCCTCGGCCCACCCTCCTCCTGTCCCGATGCTCTTGTTGGTATACGCGCTCAGGCCCTCTGGCTACTCCTCCGGAGTCGGCGGCGAGCGAGTGGGGGGGGCGGGTGAGCTGGGGCGGCCCTTCTCGGAAGGCTCAGAAGTCCGCCGGCCCTTCTCTCCTCACCATAATATCCCCTCTCGCTCGCCGCCGCAGGAGGACTGGGAGGCGTTCCAGCGGCGCGCGGTGGCCCTCGGCGCCCTCACGGCCGACGCCGAGCTCCTGGTGGCCGCGGAGCTGGGCCCGCTGGCGCACGAGGGCCGGCGCACCTCTGGGTGGGTGCGCGCCCTCGTCCGGGGCGGCGCGCTCACGGGCGTGCGCCGCGAGCAGGCCTCGGAGGTGGCCCGGCGGCTCCGCGCCCCGCTGCGGAGGCAGAGATCCAACGCATCGAAAAAGTCTCACGGCGGCAGCTTTTCACAATTTTCGGCCTCTAGGGGCCCTCGCCGGGCCCCGGGACCGTCAAAAAACGACTCGGAACGAAAAACCGGTCCTGGGGAATGCGTCGAGACCCCCGGGGGGCCCGCGCATTGAAAGCATCACGACGTCGGATCCCTGGGGAGGCTGGCGGAGGCGCTGCGGAGGGGCGTGCTCGCCTCGAAGCTGAGGGCCGCGCGCGAGTCCTTCCGGGCTCTGTACGGCCTGGACGCCGTGGTCCCGGACACGGGCGCGGGCCGCGGCTGAGAGTGGGGGGCCCCGGTGGATCCCGCGTGCAGCCTGCAGGGGCCTCGGGCCAGCCTCGGGCTCATCCCTGTCCCCAAGGCCGTCGGGCCCAAGGTGGTGGCAGCGCTCGGGATGTGCACGCAGGAGCCGGGGGAATCCTCAAGATCGGCACCGAGACGAGATGATGCCGCTGATGATGCCAGTCGTAGGGGTAGGCATGTCTTCCAGGCTGCTCAGGCGTCGGCGGCTTCCGTGGGTGGGGGCGGGGGCGGGCGACAGTTGCCCCTGCCATTTCCGAGCAGCTCTGCCACCCCCTGGACAAAAGGGTGCGGGGGACTCGGCGACCATGCACAGTAGGGGCCCGACCACAAGAAACCTTCCACAAGAAACCCAACCCTGAGACCCCAGGACCTCCATCGATTTTCGCTGTGGGAGCACCACGCCTTCCGCAGCAAAGCCATCGAAACCCAAGAATCCCTGGGCGTCCTGGAGCCAGGCAGGGTGTTTCTTGGCATGGGCCTCCACTGCACGAGAAGCGTACCCAGAGATCCGACGTCCTGATTTTATCGATACGCGGTCCCCAGAAGTCTCGACCCATTCCCCAGGACCGGTTTTTCATCTCGAGTCGTTTTTTGACGGCCCTGGGGCCCGACGAGGGCCCCTAGAGGCCGAAAATCGAGAAAAACCTCCGTCTCGATTTTTGTCAGTACGTTGGAGGTCTGGGTATGCACGTCCATGCCCTCGCGGATCACTCCACCTGTGCGTCGGGCCTGCACGGACGTGGACGCCGGAGCCGCGGGGGCTGCCTGCGGGGCAGGTGCCGCGCCCCTGAGCGCAGAAGCTGCGCTCCTGAGGGGCCGTGCGGCGATGCCCAGGCTCCTCCTCCTCCTCCTCCTCCTCCTCCTCCTCCTCCTCCTCCTCCTCCTCCTCCTCCTCCTCCTCCTCCTCTGCGAGACGGCCGGGGGGGGGGGGCCAGGGCAGATCGCCCGCCGCGCAGGAGGGGAGGCAGTGGGGCGGCCTCTCGGAGGCTCCCCCCTCCGAGTCCCACCCCGTCCCTCCTCCTCCTCCTCCTCCTCCTCTCCCTCCTGCTCCTCCTGCTCCCTCCTCCTCCTCCTCCTCCTCCTCTCCTCCTCCTCCTCCTCCTCTCTCTCCTCCTCCTCCTCCTCCTCCTCCCTCCTCCTCTCCTCCTCCTCCTCTCCTCCTCCTCCTCCTCCTCCTCTCCTCCTCTGCGAGACGGCCGGGGGGGGGGGGGCAGGGCAGATCGCTCGCCGCGCAGGAGGGGAGGCAGTGGGGCGGCCTCTCGGAAGGCTCCCCCTCCGAGTCCCACCCCGTCCTCCTCCTCCTCCTCCTCCTCCTCCTCCTCCTCCTCCTCCTCCTGCTCCTCCCTCCTCTCCTCCTCCTCCTCCTCCTCTCTCCTCCTCCTCTCCTGCTCCTGCTCCTCCTCCTTCTCCTCCTCTTCTCCTCTGCTCCTCGTCCCTCTCCTCCTCTCCTCACTCCTCCTCCTCCTCTCCTCCTCCTCCTCCTCCTCCTCCTCCTCCTCCGTTTTTGTTGTTGTGAAAAATAGAAAAGGTATATAAAAATCAAACAAAATAAAGGAGAAAACATGAGGTACTGGCGCTCCTCCTCCTCCTCCTCCTCCTCCTCCTCCTCCTCCGAATGGCATCTGCTCGAAGCGGGCCCCGGGACCCCCTCGAGGGGTCGGCAGCCCTGCCCCGCTTTCTCGGAGATATGCCTCGCCGCGGGCAGCGAGAACGCCCCGAAGTACGCCCCAGACCCTCCACAGACGACGACCACGATGACGACGTCGACGACGACGACGACGACGACGACGACGACGACGGCGGCGACGACGACGGCGGCGACGACGACGACGACGACGACGACGGCGGCGACGGCGGCGACGACGACGACGACGGCGACGAAGACGACGTCGCTTCCCCCAACGGCGTCGACGACGACGCCGTCGTCGGTCTCCGGGCCCATGCCTCGGGCCTTCCGCGGCGGCCGTTCGGGGCGACGCGGCCCCCGATCCGGAGCGCTGCTGGCGAGGTGCGTCTGCCAGAGAGCATCCCGAGGCGAGAGCTTCCCGCCGAGAGGAGGAAAGGGTACCCATACCTCGACCCTCCCCTCGTTTTCCCCTTTTTGAGCCTCCTGGGCCTCCGTCGCCGCCACCGCTGGATTCGCTTCGAAATCCTGGTCAGAACGCGCCCCAGGAGATGTCCAGGGAGTAGCGGTATCGGTACCTGTTGGCTTCCACATTCCTGCCAAGAGGGCGAAGAACGGTATAAAGCAAACTGCTCCGTCACCAGGGGCGCTTGTCCCAGGGCGGCTGGAAAGTCTATACCCTGACGTGCCACCGCAGGTATATATGTATGTACGTGAATATATATATATATATATATATATATATATATATATATGGCCGATCCCCCCCCAGCGACCCCCCAGAGCGCCCAAAGCACGAATACACAACTCAACTTTGGCCTGCCATCCAGGCTGACGAACTCATCCGCTCGGCCCATCCGTCACGGGCACCGTGCGCGCAAGCATATCGGTTTCGGCCGAGGCCACGAAACACTGTGTATCACAGGTTTTTCTGGTTTTTCTGGTCTGGGAACCAACGAACACTGCGTATCACAGGTTTTTCTGGTTTTTCTGGTTTCTGGAGCTGAAATGCTCGCCGCGGCCTCGCCCCACCGCCCCCCCCTCCTGTTTGTCGGCACCATGAAAACCAGAAAACCAGAAAAACATGTGATACACAGTGTTTCGTGGCCTCCGAACAAGAAAACACTGTGTATCACAGGTTTTTCTGGTTTTTCTGGTTTGGGAACCAACGAAACATTGTGTATCACATGTTTTTCTGGTTTTTCTTGTTTCTGGAGCTGAAATGCTCGCCGCGGCCTCGCCCCACCGCACCCCCCCTCCTGTTTGTCGGCGCTGAAAACCAGAAAAACCAGAAAAAAACATGTGATACACAGTGTTTCGTTGGTTCCCTGACCAGAAAAACAAGAAAAACCTGTGATACACAATGTTTCGTGGCCTCCGAGCAAGCAAACACTGTGTATCACATGGTGTTTTGGTTTTTCTGGTCTGGGAACCAACGAAACACTGTGTATCACAGGTTTTTCTGGTGTTCCTGGTTTCTGGAGCTGAAATGATCGCCGCGGCCTCGCCCCACCGCTCCCCCACCTCCTGTTCGTCGGCACCTGAAAACCAGAAAAACCAGAAAAACCTGTGATACACAATGTTTCGTTGGTTCCCAGACCAGAAAAACCAGAAAAAACTGTGATACACAGTGTTTCGTGGCCTCCGAGCAAGAAAACACTGTGTACTCTTCGGGGACTACAGCGCTCGCCGCTCACTGGCAGTGCTCCTTGAGGAAGGCCTCCTCCAGCATCTTCCCTGTTGCCAGCCACAAATCCTCGCCCCTGTGCCAGTACAACCACTGGTAGGCTGGTTCTGGTTCTGGCTCTGGTTCTGGCTCTGGTTCTGGTTCTGATTCTGGCTTTGGTTCTGGCTTTGGTTCTGGTTCTGGTTCTGGCTCTGGTTCTGGTTCTGGTTCTGGTTCTGGCTCTGGTTCTGGCTCTGGTTCTGGTTCTGGTTCTGGCTCTGGTTCTGGTTCTGGTTCTGGCTCTGGTTCTGGCTCTGGTTCTGGTTCTGGTTCTGGCTTTGGTTCTGGTTCTGGCTCTGGTTCTGGTCCTGGCTCTGGTTCTGGTTCTGAGCAGAACCTGGGAAAACCAAAAAGCGGCGGCGCTGATGATTGGAACACGAGGGGACACGAGGGGGCACGAGGGGGACACGAGGGGGACACGAGGGGGACACAAGGGGACACGAGGGGGACAGCAGGGGACACGAGGGGACATCAGGGGACACGAGGGGGACACAAGGGGACAGCAGGGGACACGAGGGGGACACGAGGGGGACACGAGGGGACACGAGGGGGACAGCAGGGGACACGAGGGGGACACGAGGGGACAGCAGGGGACACGAGGGGGACACGAAGGGGACAGCAGGGGACACGAGGGACACAAGAGGGGAAAACAGAGGACACGAGGGGGACACGAGGGGACATCAGGGGACACAAGGGGGACACGAGGGGGATACGAGGGGGGCGCGAGGGGGACACGAGGGGACACAAGGGGGACACGAGAGGGACACGAGGGAACAACAGGGGACACGAGGAGGACGCGAGGGGACAACAGGGGACAATAAGGAAACCATTCAAGTCTCGGAACATTTCGTTGCTACGGTTTGCCCCCCGTCAACCTTCTGCTCCGAACGTTCTCCAACAGGGAAAGGACCAGGAGGAAGAACAAAAGGTGGAGGACGAGGGAGGAGGGAGGAGGAGGACGAGGAACAGGAGAAGCAGGAGGCGACGGGGGAGATGGAAGAGGAAGGGGAGGATGAGGGAGAGTAAGATGAGGAGGGATACTTCTCGGGTCACAGCCCGCTGTGACAGACCATGTGTCTGCGGCTGTTCGGTGCCAGCATCTCAAGACCGCGGCTTCGTGTTTTGGGCGTTTTGGGGGGTCGCTGGGGGGGGGACCGAGCATATATATATATATATATATATATATATATATATGTATATATATATATATGTATATATATGTATATATATATATATATATATATATCCGTAAGGGCGTCACCCCCTGCCGCTGGCCCCATCTCCATCATGATGGGATCTATCAGAGTCGCGTCGCTGCGTCTCAGCGCTGCCTTGGCACATCTGGGATTACCACGCGGGGGCGGATAGGGATCATCAGCGCATATTGAGACGTTGGCCTAGTGGTCTTCGGCCCATCCCGCCACCGTGCCTGGGTTGTGGGTCTAAGGCCTCTTGTACATCTGTTGGGGTGTCGTGGGCAGCCTCTCGGGGGCCTCTTGGAGGCGGTTTGGGCGCCTCTTGGGGGCCTCTTAGGGCTTCGGGGGGTATATTTT